TGCTGGCCATCGCTACTGGTGCCATGTGGCCCAAGGCCCGCGTCAAGGCCGAGGTCAAGGGCGCCGACACCGACGGCCACTGCGAGCGATGCGGGGAAGCAGAAGAGACGGAGTTTCATCGGATATGGCAGTGTCCTTGCAGAAAGGAGAGCCCGATCTACGAGACCACGGACAGCCTCACCACCCAGGCCACGACCCAGCAGCGCATGTTCGAGTGCTACTGGACGCGAGGGCTTTTACCTCGCAGCTGGACCCGTCTACCATCACCAGCTAACCACGAGAGCTGGCAGGTCGACGGCGCCGACGCCTACGGCCCAGGGTGCTTCGGTCAAGGCCAGGGCGAGCCCATCTATGTCTTCGGCGACGGCAGTGGCGGCGGCGACACCTCCAGTGTTCCCATGCGCCGCGTCGGCGTGGCCATCGCCGTGTTCCACGACCTGGACAGGAACGGCATGGAGCTGCGGGGCGCTGCATGGGGGCCACTGCCAGGAGGGCGACAGACCGTCATCCGTGGCGAACTCAGGGCCCTACTGATGGCTGTTACCACCACGGTGGGTGACCTGGTCTATTTCACCGACAGTGAGGGTGTCTACCTCAACTACTACAACGGCCACTTGGAGGCGCCCGAAGGCGCCGACGCTGACCTGTGGTACCGCCTCCGTGAGGCTGTTCGAGGGCGGCAAGCAGATGTGGTTGTCCTTTGCATTCGGTCCCATATGACTGAGACCGACATCTGTGCAGGTAAAATCAGCAGCTCACTAGCCTACGGCAACACCGTCGCGGATGAGCTAGCCGCAGGAGCGGCTCGTGAATGCAGGATCCCCAAACACATTCGTCAGCAGTATGCCAGAGTCGAGCAGCAGGCGTTCACGGTGAGGATGAGGATCCTTAGGGCTCACTTAGACGCTCTCGAGGCCGACAGAATAGCACACCAGGAGGGCCCACGTCGTAGGAGGCCGAAGCCTAAGGCTCCAGCCAAACCGCCAGCCCCCGATGTCTGTGCCGCGTTTGCATCACAACATACCCTAGACAGTACGGGCAGTAGGTGCAGTAGGTGTCAGAACTCCTCCACCCAGGCCCGTAGGACTGAATGGCTTCGCACCAGTTGTTATGACCTTGTCAATGTTGATGGCACTTATATGAGACCCCCCCTCGGGATGCAGGTACATGTGGCTGGGGGATATGCTCATTTAACCCATCGTTTAAGGTTCCACACTGGGCTGAAATTGTGGTTTTGTTTCCATTGCGGGGTGTACGCCTCCCGACAGATCGGGAAGTTAGCCGTCGCATGTGACACACCCACCGCCACGGGGCGGGAGTATCTGCGTCGTATTGCAATGGGGGCATGGCCCAAAGCGCTCAGCCAAGCTGAGACCATCCAGAGATTAGGGAAGCAACAGGCACTTCAGTAGGTGCCAGCGGACTTCCATACTCATATCGCTACGCGATCAGGCAGAGTCTCCAGAGTCTCCTCCTCCTCCTCTTCCTCCTCCTCCTCCTCCTCCTCCTCCTCCTCCTCCTCCCCCCCCCCGCTACGTCCGCTCCGCCTCCTCGTCCTTCTCTTTCGCCTCCTCCTGTGAGCTTGGCAGAGCAAGGCCGCTCGAGACAACGACCCCTTGTCAGAGAGAGGAGGAGGATGAGTAGGAGGACCAGTTCAAAACCCAAGATTCATCAACGATGTTGCAATCAACTTTCCCTCCAAGTTGATTGATCATAAACCTCTACAAGGAGTCAGTCTCACTGAAGGAAGTGCTCCGTTGGAACGTTGGAAGACAAGCGTTTGAACCTCCTCATCGGTGCCAGAACAACATTCCTGGAATTTCAACGCCGCGAATCACCGTTAATGTTGCGTATCGTCGATCTTGAACCGTGCCAGAACACCGTTCCTGAGACTTCAACACTGCGAATCAAAATGAGTGTTGCGACATGACAATCCGTCATCGTGCCAAAACGCCATTATTTGGGACGGGAGCTATGGTAATCCCACCATGAAGGACACAAGCGAAATATTTGCGCACAGACGTGCAACTTGATTCCAAGTGTGCGGCCTTCACATAAAAGTCCTTTTGTGCTTGGCCTGGGGAGAGGGTGAGGCCTGGCCGGCGAATGAGAGAACACACAGTGAAAGAACACAGCCTGGGGGACCAAAGACGCTGTGCTTTCAATTATGCACCTGTACGTTTTGACTGTATACAAAACACGCACACGCACGCACGCAGGCACGCAAGCACACACACAGACACACACGCGCGCACGCACGCACGCACGCACATACACATATACACAACAAAATACAACAACCAGGAAGACAGGAAACCTGTGTTCTCACAGCGTTCAGGCATTTACATATTGATTCATAGTGTGCGACTATCACATATAATCCCTTTGCGGGGAATTACTCATGGATTCTTGTTGTGTTGGAGATACTTGAAATCCTTGTTGTGCAGACGTACGGTTTGATTCGAAGCGAATGCGAAGACATAAAACGTGGCGCAGCTGCGTCCAGAACCACAGCGCTTGGTTTTAGTGTCCGTGTATATATTGGTGTAGGTAGGTATGTATGTATGTCTGTATGTATGTATGTATGTATGTATGTATGTATGTATGTGTGTGTGTGTATGTATGTATGTATGTATGTATGTATGTTTATATATATATATGTATATAATGGGTAGGGGGGCCGGGCCCCCCAAAGTGCATTCATTTATCTTCAGGCAGTTTCGGGCCCGGTGGGGGCGCCAAAAAACGTCAAAGGGGGCCGAGAGACGTCCAAGAGGGCACCAAGATGGCTCAAGAGCGCTCCAAGAGAGCCCAAGACCGCACAAGAGCGTTTCAAATGGGTCCAACATTGCTTGAAGACAGCCCAAGAGGGCGTCAAGACGGCCAAGATGCTTTCCAAAGGACTCACTCCCACGAGGCACTCAGACGGCGAAGAAAGTATGTATGTTTGTATTGTTTTTGAAGGATCTCGCTGTTTCGAGTTTCCGACGGTCCAAGTCTGCCCACGAGGCCCAAGAAATTAGCTCAAGACGGCCCAAGAGGCACCCAAAGAGGTCGCCGCAACGGTACAAGAGAGCCCCAACACTGCCCCCCCAATACGGCCCAAGAGGCGCCCAAGATCGCCCAAGAGTGTGCCCCAAGACGGCCTCAAGAGGGGCCCAAGAGGGGGAACACTAACCGACAATTCGAGCCTTCCGCCCCAGGACGCCCCAAGAGGCCCCCAAGAGATCCCAAGAGGCCCCCTAGAGGCCCCCCAGAGGCTCCAACGAGGCCCCCCAGAGGCTCCAAAGAGGCCCAAAAAGGGGCCCAAAAAGACGCCCCACGAGCACCCCAAACGGTTCCCAAGAGGCTTCAAACATTGCTTCAAGCGGCCCCTGGGAAGCCACCCACGAATTCCAAACGAACTTCCAAGAGGCCTCTAACCCACAACCCAGGCACGGTGGCGAGATGGGCCGTTGGCCATTATCGGGAACATGTACTGAGAACCCGAGATCTTCGCCCCAGGAGACCCCAGGAGGGTCAAGAGGTCCCCAAGAAGCTTGGCGACAGATCGCGGGTCGACCGGTCGATGAGAGCAGAGGAGGAGGAATGAGGAAGAGGCAGGAGGAAATAGAGACTGTTGCCCGCATTATTCATGACCGCCTTGTTGTCTCAATGCGGTTAGCACTCGACCAGCTAGAACCTAAGCGCGCGCGAAGCGTGCGCGATGGTTCTAGTATATATATATATATACATATATACATATATGTATACATGTATATAAATATACGTACATACATCTACATCAATATATACATGCATACATACATGTATAAATCTGTGTGTATATATATACACTATCTACAAGACTGCAGTGGCGCTTCGCGCCATGCACCTTGGTACTTGAAGTTTGGTGTGCAGGCGGAATAGCAGGAAGGTCAAACCGACAATTTAGCGATAATTCCTTGTTGCCTTTTTCCGGCATCGCCGCTAGAATAAGGTTATTCGTTATTTTTCCTCCATGCTTCTTTTTGTATTTTCGCCATACACTGCGCATTCTCCCCATGCTCCGCAGCTCTTTTTTTGCGGAGGCTCCTCCTTGGAGAGCCTTTGGGGGCCTCTCAAAAGTTGTTTCAGGCTTTCTTAAGGCCTTCTGGAGGCCTCCTGGGCGTATTCTGGGGGCCTCTGGGGGCTTCCTCGGGCCGCCCTGCCTCCAACCGCGGTCTCCCTGAACGACCGGGTCACGATTTGGAATGTTTCGGAGGGCGTCTTGGGGCCATCTTGGGCCGCCATGGGGCCCTCTGAGGTCCATCTTGGACCCGTTTTGTGCCGTTTTGGGGCTCTCTTGGATTGCCTGGAAGCGCTTTCGGATGACTGTGGGGCGATTTTGGATCCTCCCAGGCGGCTTCGGACGCCCAGAAGACCGCCGTCTTGGAGCGTCGGGAAGCCGAAAAGCGGAGAACCCCACAATTCACAAACAAAAATTGAAAATCAATGATTGTTGCCTCTTGGGGCCTTCTTGGGAGTGCTCTTGGAGGCCTCTTTGGGGCCGTCCTGGAGGCCTCTTGGGCCATCTTGAGGTCACGTCGGTCACTCTTGGAGCGCTCTTGTGCTGTCTTGGGGGTCTTTGGGACGTCTCCGATGACCCCCCTGATCGCTTGGGTGTGCTGGGAAGGCTTGGCAAAACGCCCTGCGAGGCCCGGGGGGCCGCTTCGAGGCCCGTCCGGAGGGTCCCAAAGCCCCAGATCCCGGGAGTCCGGTTTTTTTTTTGGGGGGGAGTGACGGGTTTTCCCCCCGCCCGGGTTTATAAAGAATATGGGAAAAGGATCGATGTGTGTATATATATATTATGTATTATATATTTATGTGTACATAGACATCTATATATATATATATATATATATATATATATATATATATTCAGGGGGTGGGGACACAAGCTGAAATCATTTCACCTTCGGGATTATGGTACAGTTTGGGCTGAACGTGCGATGGAACAGAAGCCCCAGCATCCCGCCGAGGATTCGACGACGTCGGCACCTGGAACGACAGGCTGACGAAGGACATGTCCACGGGCGTCCGAACACGTGAAGTGTTGTCTTCCTCGCCCTGCCCTGATCCCCGCAGCTTCTTTGGCATGAAGCTGGTCACCCGCCGGCGACCAGGGTCAACACGCCAACCCTCTGTCCTGCGCCCTCGCAATCCGCCTCCCCCTCCTTATCCTGCCTTCCCCCCCTCCTCATCATCCTCCTCCTCATCCTCCTCCTGCTTCCTTAGCCATGTTGGCTCAAGTTCAAGCCGCGGGTCCTCGGCGGCTTGAGCTTGGTCGCTGCCGTGAGGACTGGTTCAAGGCTTTCTGCCTTTCAGGTTTGCTCTGCTCGTGTCAGCTTCTTGGATAGCCGAACGCCCGCCCTGCGGACACCGCGTTACAGAAGGATTTGCCTGCTTCTGTTGATCCAGGCATGGCGGCCGCAGCTTCGGCCTCTCCTGATGCGGTGCACATCGCCGTGCATGACAGTGATCAAGACATGGACGACCCACACCGCGACAAAGTGCCGCGTCTGGGGGAGCCACCAGCTTGTGCAAATGGCGTGCCGTCCGATCCCATGCTGCGCCTGTCGAACGCTGTCAATGGCATCCGCCATGGGATGGCTACGAGAGATGACCAGCGAGGCATGAAGCAGCAGCTGCACGAGCAGTCTGAGAAGGTCAACACCATCGGCATGCACCCCACCACCCTCGAGGCTGATGTTTCCAACGCCCACAACAACGTCGCGTTGCCGACACCGTCCTGAAGGAGAAGTTCGAGATCCTGGAGCAGCGCTACGACAAAACATTGAAGGAGCTGGAGGAGTTGACTCGCAGGTCTGCAGCTGAGGTGGCCTCTCGTGCATCGTAAACGGCTGGGAGTGCGAGCAGCGGGTCTTCGTCCTCGCGCCTTGCGCAGGCTCAGGACAGCGACCCGCAGAGAGTTTGGATGTGGGGTTCCCGAGGGCGGTCCTGGCCTTTGTCCTCAAGAAGCACGCTGATGAGTTGTTGGCGCGCCACATCACTGCCGACACCAGTGCCACCGCTAAGGTTCACAAGTATACCACCGCATACAGCGTTGCTGTCGATTCCGCTGCCACTGACCGCGATATTGTGCAACGCGTGAAGACACTTGGCGTCGCGCGGCTGGACGCGAAGTTTAATTCTCATGTGGGCTTGGAAGTTCGCCTTGATGTGCCATTGGGAGCCCTTCGCGGTAATCGTACTATGGGCATTATCTGGTCAAAAGTACATGAGAACGCAGTTGCCAACAACCTGCGGGGGCAAGGTCATCGCCTCGAAGCGCAATGATTCCGCGGCAAACTGTGGCTGACCCACGGCGAAGAAGCTGGAGCTTTGTTCACAGTGAAGGGAGTGGCGACCATGCCGATCGACACTCATCCCAACAAGCCGCGTCTGTGCTTCACCGACCAGATGATCAAGGACGTGATTTGCGTGGTTGAAGCCCGCTCGTGTCTTCATTCTATATATATATATATATACACTGCTGCCGTCTCGGCTCACGTACTGCACGCAGGTGCAGTGCCGCTTGCCCGCGGCGCATGGGAAAATGGATCGCTGCCTTCCTCTACCTACAGCAATCATTGCAGGTTCATCTCTTCGGTCGTCAACCTACATGCACCGGTTATCAGCCTGTTTCTATTTCGCTTTCCTCTGTGGCACCCCGCGCCGTCTTTGACTCGGCCGCGCTGCGCAGGGCCCCGCGGGGGCCGGCGCCCCTGCGCGCGCTGGATCTTCGACGGAGCGCGGGCGCCACGGCGCCGCGGAGAGGGCGACGGGGCATGCGATGCCGCCCCCCCCCCTTGCCAGGCGACGACAGCGCCGATGCGCGACTTGAGGCTGAATTCGAAGCCATCATGGACCCCTTAGTCGCGCCCCCCGCGCCGGCGCCTTCTCGCGCGCCAGGGCTTGGACATGGCGCCCAGCTGACCATGGCGTCTACTGGCGCCACCTTGAGTTCGGAACCCTCGCTTGTGGAAACACCCGCGGTTGCCCCCGTGGCCGCCGCTAGATTCGCCTCGCCTCCTTCTCCTCCAACCTTCTCTGGAAACGCCCGCGGTTGTGGCGCCGGCGAAACGTCTCCCCAGAGCGCTTCCGCGTGGCGCCGTTGCCGGGGCGCGCGGCGTCTCGCGCGCCCCACTGCGGCTTCCGTTTCAGAACGCGCGCGAGTCGTAGAAGGTCGCACTGGGCGGACCTCGCAGCGCAGAGCCCCCGAGCGGCATCACATCTAGTCTCCATATATGGGGCAACATCCGCAGCCCCCCCCCTGAGGCGCCCACGGCGGAGTTCCCTGCGGCGCGACGCTGCGCCGCAAGCATCGCCCTCGGCCACTGATCTGGCAGAGCTTAGAGACCATGTTGAAACACACGACCCAAGAGTTGTAGGATCTTGTTGCACATGCAGCAACACTGGGGCAAGAGCCCCAGAACGCCCTTGCCCTCGCCGACGCTCGGATCGCTGAAGATCGATCGGTCCTCGCCCAGGTCCAGCATCTTGTCGACCGCATGGAGTCGCACCGAGGTTCCGGCTCCATTGCAATTCAGACGCTCCACGACTACCTCCTTGCAGCGGGGGCCCAATTCGTGAGCGTTAGAGACGCGGGCAATGCCGCTGTCCAGGCACTGCACGACGAGCTCCTGACAGTGCGGCAGGCTTTTTTCAACTGAGGTACATGGGACTACGGATCAACAGCTTCGCGATGGCCCCATGGCGCTTCATGATCACGTTGATGTCACCACTGCCAACCTCCACTTCGAGAATGCCACAACCACGTCCGAGTTGCACGGCAAGCTGTGCGCTGACGAGATGGCTATTGCTCAGCGTCTGGATGCATCAGAGGGACGCGTGCCAGCGCATGAGAACCGAGTCTCCACGGTCGAGCAGCAGTTACCTGACATGCAGGCCGCGCTGGCTAAGTTGCATGTTGTGCGGGCCCAGACTGGCCAGCTGGGCGCCCCAACTTCGGTTTGCGACTTTGCTCCCCTCGCTGCCGAGATGGCCGTGGCATGGTAGGCGGCGGGCCACGGGCAGTTGCGACTCGCCCAGATCCCTCAAGAAAGACGCTGAAGAGGCGCGGTCGGAGGATGTCCTCACCCGTTGGGGACTAAAGCGCGAAGCACAGAGCCGACGATTCCAGGGCCTAGAACATCGGCCGGACCGGCCCCCCCCAGCGAACGCATGATACCAACGACGAGGCACGTGGTCTACAACTGAGTGTCGGGCAGTTGCAGAACCATCTCGCGGCCGCCGAAGCCACCATGAAGGCTCGCGTTAGCGACGCCAAGATCCGTTGCCCTTCGCAACCTCCAGACCCAGCCACCGACGGTGCCCCAGCCCTCGCCGATGGAAACATCCGCGCAGGACAGCCGCGACGCACGTCACCAGGAGGTGCCTCTGCAGCAGCGTCAAAGCAGACACGTCACGTATCTCCTGTGCGTGCGCCATTGCCGATGTCAGTAATCCCGCCCCAGAATCTATTACGGCATTCTCTTGGTGGCACCACCCAGATCAAGGAACCAGACACTGCGCGTATTCCCCAACTGCCAGGCATCATTCAGTTACAGGAGCGGCAGCAGATGGTCAGGGACAATTTGGCCAGCGCCTCAGGACGCTCTGCCAAGGCATGCGCAGTCCTTTGTGTTGCCGAACAACCTGGCACTACATTGGAGGACCTACAGGACAGTAGCGATTTCGAGAGCATCGACTGTACGCTTGCCGCTGGACAATCAGCTGTTCTCAATACTGAGCTCTGTTTCAGAATGGGGAACATCAAAGCTCAAGAGCGCAAAGCCGACCGCATGTTGAAAGGTATACAGGTCCATTGGACTATGCGGCAATCCTACAAGGTTGCCGACGTCGACGACCTGACGCCCGACTTCGACGTCTACAATTTATTCGCATGCAGGGCGAGGATATCAAACGCTCCACTGTGGATCGGGGCAGTTTACTTTGGGCATGCCGTGGCCCACCGGACGCGAAGATACTCGAGTCATTGTTCCGAGCTCAAATCCGCGGACATCCATGGATGGATGACGCAAGACATGCGCGGCTACAATATGATAAAATCGAATGACCCCAATCGCACCTACGATTGGTTGCGAGAACGCGTTTTGGCCAACGTCGAGATGCGCCGACTCGAACGCGACCGGTGCAACCTCAAGAACGAGACGACTCGTCACGAATTGGCCACATGCGCAGCATGCGAGGCAGGTCGTTGCAAAAACGGCGGACGGCGCAGATTGCTGCGCGCTGGCTCTGGCAACCGTTCCACGCCGCGACCTCGCGGGCGCGCGTCGCTGGCCGGCGCGGATGCCCGCGAGAAGGCCTTCCGCGGGACGAGGCGCGCAGCAGCCGCCCAAAGACGGAGGCGCCAAGAAGTTCTGTCTCTCCTTCGCAAAACACGGCGCCTACCCGCGAGAAGACCGGCGCAGATGGCCTTGCGCTGCGAAGTGCAGCTTCTTTGCTGGCCCAGGCGCGCGCTGCGAGCAGGGCGACGACTGCCGCTGCGCCCGCGCAGCGTGGGGCACCGAGACCCCCGAGAGAAGCCTTGGCCGCGCCCGCAGTCAGGGCAGCCGCGACGGTGCGTCCATCCCTGGACGTGCGGGGGGCAATCGACACTGCCCGCGCGGGGGGTGTCAGGGCTCGCGGAGTCCGGGGGGGCCGCGGGCGGATTTCCCAGGCGCCGATGGATTTGCGCTGGAAGGCGCGGCGCTCGCAACAGTCCCGTTCTCCTTCGCGGGGCAGCAGCCGCGGATGCAGTCGAGGGCGTTCGCGCGGCGACAGCGGCGGCGGCAGCAGCGGCAGCGAACGGTCACCTTCGACGCGCCACAGGAACCCATCCCCTGCAGCGACGCGATGCGTTCGACGACGGGACCGAACGCGCGCGATTCGCGCAAAGACCTTGGCGGCAGTATCCACGAGCGCCACCGCAGCGCAACGACCACAGCACTTACGTTTCGACCGCGACAACATCGATGTCATCACCCACCCTGTGCCCAAACTGCAAATGGCCAA